TCTGTTTGAAGACTAAGGTGCACCTGACCCAAGTCATGGCATTTTCAACAGTCTGATATACATGTGAAAGTTGGACAGTGAATAAGGAAGACCATAGAATAATTGATGCATTTGATTTATGGTGTTGGAGGAAAATATTAAAAGTACCATGGACTGCCAGAGCCAGAAGAATAAACAAATCTGTGTTGGAAGAAGTACAGCCAGATGCTCCTTGGAAGCAAAGATGGCGAGACTTCATCTCTCATACTTTGGACACATTATCCAGGAGTTCCTGGAAAAGGATATCATGTTAGGTAAAGTGTAAGGTCATCAAGAAAGAGGAAGATCCCCAATGAGATGGACTGGCACAGTGACAGCAGCAATGGGCTCAAGCCTAGCAACAATTGTGGGATTTGTACCGGATAGGGCAGTGTTTCATTCTGTTGTTGATAAGGTCATAGTGAGTCAGTACTGATTGGATGACATGTAACAACAACAACAACAATATATCACAGATGAGGAGTGCATTTGCTCCAAGCATTAAGCACTGGACTATGAGCCACAAGTTCTGAAGTTGAGCTGTGGGAGAAGGATGAGGCTTTCTGCTTGCACAAAGACTTAAAAAAAACCTCAGAAACCCAGTACAGGATCGGTTTGAGTCAGCAGCACTTAACAACAACAACATATCCCAGGTTGTTTTTATGATCTTTGCATTTATTAAATAATAAATATTCACAAACAAATTTCTGAAGTGATATCTGCTATTGTGCCCATTTTACAGTTGGAGAGTAAAAGCACAGAGAAATTAAGTAACATGTCTGGTGTCACACAGCCACTAAGTGGCAGAGCTAGAAGCCAAATCCACACTATCTTGCAAGCCAACTGTACTTGGCCACTTCTCTCAGCAAATGATACTTTACTTTGCCTCATCTCTAAAGATATCCCTCATATTTTTACTTCAAGTCATATGTGACGGGATCATCATTTCCTCTACCTCAAACTTTCTTCATTGGTGCATGTAACCCTCACTGTTTCAGAAGGCATTTCTGTTTCAGATCTCACTGATTTCAGAGAGCATCTCTGGAAACATTATAAAAGAATTCTGCATCAGTTTACTGTAAGTTCTTATTTTATAATACAGTTTTCAATTTTCACGCTACAACCTCATAAAAACACACATGCTCAGTGGAATAGCAAAACAAAAATAATGAAAATGTTCACACACTGTGAAGAATATAAACAATGTCACTGAACAATTTGTGTAGAAATTGCTGAATGGGAACCTAACCTGCTGTGTAAACCAAAAACACAACAAAATCCTATTTAAAACATACACACATACTCGAGGTTAAGAAACATATGCAATCACTGCAAATAGCTTTCTATGTAGTTCTATGAAACAGAGAAAATTAAGATCTTAAACCAAGTCCTAGTGGAGTCCTGGTATGGATGCTATGGACTGATGCATCAGACTGCAAAGTCAGTTTGAACTGCAAGCTCAGTGGTTCAAGCTCACCAGCTACTCCTTGGAAACCCTATACGGGGTCGCTATGGGTCGGAATTGATTCAATGGCACTTAACAATAACAACAGTGAAGACAAAGTGATTCTAGTCAAGGTTTCACAGCAAATGGCCTCCAACATCTCTGGCAGCTTTAGAAGTTTAGGAACAGCATGGTCCCCAAATGGGAAAAAATACCTTTGGTTTTCATTGGTAGGACTCTGGGGTTTCCTCTGTATGCTGTCCACAACCGTTCTGCTTGGTTCTGGGTCATTTGAAGCTGCAATGTTTAAAAACCAAAGTAGCTTTTCATAATTTACCTGAAAATTAATACAAAGCAGAATAGCCTCATTTAACTTATGTGCAGGGAAATAAATCTACTGAGGTAAAACACATTTAGAACATTTTCAATGTTAAAAGCTACGAATCTATTTAAAAATATAACATGGTCATTACAAGTGTAATTTATTAAATATATTATTCTTCTTACTGGACAAGTGATAGGATTGTACTTCCTGGTGACCTGCTGGTTAGATCACTGCGACTAATCCTGGACAGATTAGCTGTGAGCAGAAGAGATATGCGCCACTTCTGGGCTGGTGTGAGATCCTCCGGAGCTCTCTTGTTTTTTCCCTCTACCATCAAGACCAAAAATATTCCGGAGTGGCAGGCAGCCTTATTAGACTGGCTGGGACTTAGAGCTAAGATAATAACAGAACTGAGAAAGACCCACAGCTGACATATTATGGAAAGGTAATGAAAAATAAGCAGAGCTCCATATATATGTAATCTATAATATAAATTTGTCTTATATACTTGTGTATGTTTTCATATTATATATTGTGTACCATCAAGTTAATTTTGACTGCCAGTGACTCTGTAAGACCCCATAGAATTTCCTAGGCTATAATCTTTATTGGAGCCGATCAGTAGGTCGTTTCTCCTGAGGAGCAGCTTATGGGTTCAAACAACTGACTTTTCAGTTAGCAGGCAAGTACTTAAATATTCCATGACTATGGCTAACGATAAGCACTGGACTGCAAGATCTGTTTGAACCACAAAATTTGTGGTTTAAACTCACCAGTCACTCCTCAGAAACCCTACACAGGGCTGCTATGAGTCAGAACCAACTACAGGGCACTTAACGACAGCAGTAACTAACCCAAAATTTTAAGAGGGAAAAAAAATGAAAATGGGACAGGAAAATCCTTAGAAGAGAAATTAAATAGGAGATCCACATCTATTTCCCATTCTTGTCTATTCTGACTATAAATGCCCATATATGAATATAAATGAGCTTTGAATCTTAGGAATGAATAGTCAAGGTTAGTTTTAGAGAAAGGAACCAGCCTGTCATTTCAGTTACCCTGTTGTGTCGTATCTGATGCTCTGTTGGCAGAGCGAGTTAAGTGCTGGGCTGCTAACCAAAATGTCAGAGTTGACACCCACCAGTTCCTCCACAGGAGAAAGATAAGGCAGTCAGCATCCATAAAGATTTATAGCCTTGGAAGCCTTAGAGATCAATTCTACTGTCCTACAGGGTTGCTATGAGTCTGAATCAAGTCAACAGCAGTGGGGTTTTGGGTTTGGGTGTGTACAAGCAATATAAAGAAAATGAATCCACACATAAATTAGCATGATGGTCATACCATTTCTGGAGAGCTTCTCCCTGAAAATCTATGGCAAAGGATCTTGATTGTTGGTAACTTCAGAGGGACTTCATGCCTCAAGAAGAGACGGCTTAGCTGAGATTGGAGAAGATATCCTGAAGAGATAGGATCCAGAATCTTCAGCTCTTTCTGAATCTTGTCTAATAAACTTGAACTCAGAGGGCATGATTTGAGTTCTCTTCTGACCAATGAAAGAAGGAAAGTGTCTTCTCTTGTAGTTTTACTTGGTCTTTGGCCAATATCCTGACACAAACAATGGGGGAAAAAATCAGCACAGCTGGCTCTAAAATGAAATCGCTGAAGTCCAATGTAACAAGAAAAAGAGGAAGACCCCAGTGAGATGGATTGGCAAAGTGGCAGCAACCATGGGCTTAAGCGTGGCAACAATAGTGAGGTTGGCCCAGGATTGGGCAGTGTTTTGTTCTGCTGTGCATAGGGTCGCTATGAGTTGGTATGGACTCGATGGCACCTAACAACAACAACAACAATGTAACAAGCATAGGAGGCACATTGGAGCTTGTATTCATGTCTTCAAGTGATTAACACATGAAGGGAAGCATTCATTCTGGGTCAATTCATTAGTTTACAATGCTGCGGCCCTTTTCCTTCAGAAGAACAAAGGGGCAAACTATCTCAGAATACCTAGTGAATCTCAACAATCTATCTGATCTATAACCAATTGTGGAATGGTGGAAGAAAGACCTGCTAATCTATTTCTAAGAAATAAACCAGTAGATACCTCTTGGACTATAGTTCTACTCTGACATAAAAGGGGTCTCCATGAATTGGAGACTCCGTGGCAAGTGGACTGATTTGCTGTTAGAAGGCTGTTACACCATCTTTGTTTTTAAAAAATAGTTTTCATGGTTGTATAATAATTCGGAATAGCAGTTCTTAGAGAAATATTGGTCTGGCATTTAAGGCTGGTGGTAGAAGGGGAAGATCAATGATAATGCCCAGATCCTGGTTGAGGTAACTCAAAACACAATGGGACCTACGTGGGTATAGGAACCCTTGAGAAAAAGGAAGGTAAAAAGTTCAGCTGAGACATGTGGAGTTTGTCTGTAGGCTCCTCAGGAGAAGTGACTTGGAAAGTCAACTGGTTGGATGGATCTAGAGTCATGAGAGAAATGTGGTGTACATATCAAAATATGCAGTCAATAAATAATTCCCCTTCATCCACAAGAGAAACAACAACTATTAATATACACACCTCAGGTTGCTCAGAACCTTCCCTCGCCATCTGTTCCAGGGACCAGTCTCTAAAATTTCTCCTGGGGAGGCCATGGATATAGGATAGGGACTGGTCTCCAGTTGGTACAGAGCTGCAGTGGACATTTGCCTATTGGGAATGGTAAAGACACATTAGAGCAAGGAACAGAAGGTGGGCAGAAAAATAGAAGGAAGATATGAGTCAGCCAATCAACTTCCTGAAACATTTTCAGTTCCAAATGAACTTGGGCCCTCTTTATGTGACCTTTGAGTTCTCCAAAAAGAAAGCTTCTTTTAAAACTAATTTCAGTATTATGTGATTAACACACTTTGGGGGTAATTAACAATTAGGTACTTTTTCATTTATGCAACAAAGAAGGTATCTGTGACAGAAATAAAAGGTAGAAAAAAAAATTACAGTGCTTAAGATAATTATAGGGTTCTTATTAGAAATAATGGCATCCTTACTGTTGTTGTTAAGAGCTGTCGAGTCAATTCTGACTCATAGTGACCCTGTGTAGGGTTTCCAAGGCTTTAAATCTCTCTGGGAGCAGAAAACCTAATCTTTCTTGCATGGAATGGCTGGTGGGCTCAAACCTCCAACCTTGTGGTTCACAGTCCAGTTCTTATACTACAAAGCCACCACACTCTTCAAAAGGTCACATCACAACTTTATTATTTTTGATTTTAAATTCACATGAATTTTATATATAGTCCCTCAAATATTTCATGCTAACATAGGCTCCTGGTTGTCATATTTTATTGTTGTTGTTGTTGCTGGTAGAGCCATGAAATTTGTTTCAACTCATAGTGAAATGACTTTATAGGGTTTCCAGGGATTGGCGGATGGGTTTGTACTCTTGTTAGGCTGGTTTAATTAACAGGTTTAGGGATGGCAACAAAGGTGATAGTGAAGCTTGCCAATCATGGAATAAAATAGAAAAAAAAATGCTCAGAATATTAAATCCCAAGAGCAATGTTATTAAAAGTTATAAGAGACTGAATGACAACACAAGGATCAATGATAAAAATCCTATTTCCTCATGCTCTGACCATAGAAAACGGAATGTCATGAAATCATGTTGAAATTTATCAGTATAAAGTAACCTAAGGAGCCCTGGTAGTTTTAGTCTCAAGGTCAGTAGTTCAAAACTACCAGCTGTTCCACCAGAGAAGATGAGGTTTTCTGCTCCCATAAAGATTTACAGTTTTGGAAACCTCATACAGGGTGACTATGAGTTGGAACTGACTCCACGGCACATAACTACCATCACCACCATAAAGTAAACTACAGATGCTTTATAATCATGAAATATAAGGAAAAAATCAAGAGGATTTCTAGAGTGGGCAAAGTGTGGACAAGAGTGACAGACAATTTTAGAATAGGCATCCAAATAAACAGTTATTTATTGAGTATAGGGCTTTGCCCATCATTTAATTTCATTCTCACAACACCACCACGAGGTGGGTAATATTGTTGTTAAGTGTCATGGACTCTGTTTTGACTCATAGTGACCCTGAATAGGGTTTCCAAGGAGCAGCTGGTGGGTCTGAACTCCTGACCTTGTGGTATGTAGTCCAGTGCTGACCCTACAGCGCCATATCAGAAATTCCTCTTAGTACACTTTGTATCTGGGAAACAAAACCTTCCAGAATTTAATTAATTTTATTCCTTTATTTAACACATATTTATGGCTTACCTGATCTGGGCTAGACACAAACCTGGTCCCTGGTCTCACAAACCTTGCAGAGAGTGGAGGCACAGCAAGCAACCACAACCATACGGTATGGAGACGGAGGGGCTAGGGCCACTATGGGAACATTCACTGCACCACCTAATCTCAATTCGGTGATTGGGAAAGGCCTGATGGAAGACGTGACATTTAAATCTAGACTTGAAAGATGAGTTGGATTTGATTGGCTAAGGAGAGTAGAGGGAGAAAGAAAAGAAAAAAAAGATTACAGAAAAAGGGAACTGGATTTAGCAAACTCCAAAGCATATAAGAAAGAGACAGATGTTTTCAGAGAATTGGTGATACAGTAGTTTAAGTGCTGGGCCACAAAGCAAAAGTTTGGCAGGTTCAAAACACCAGCCTCTCTGTTTCCCTAAAGATTTGTTGTTGCTGTTAAGGTGCCTTCAAGTCGACTCTGATTCACAGCCACCCTATTAACAACAGAGGAAAACACCGTCTGATCTTGCGCCAGCCTCACAATTGCTGCTGCACTTAAGCCCATTGTTACTGCCACTGTGCCAATCTATCTTGTTTGGTGTTTTCCTCTTTTTTTGCTGACCCTCCATCTTACCAAGCATAATATCCTTCTCCAGGAACTGGTCCCTCCTATGTGCAAAGTATGAGAGACAAAATCTCATTATTCTGGCTTCTAAAGAGCATTCTGGATGTACTTCTTCCAACACAGATTGGTTTGTTCTTCTTGCAGCCCCTGGTATTTTTGATATTCTTCTCTAACACCATAATTCAAATGCATCAGTTCTTATAAGATATTCATTTTTCATTGTCCAACTTTACTGCATATGTTGTTGCTGTTGTTAAGTGCCGTGGAGTTGGTTCCAACTCATAGCAACCCTGCACAGGGTTTCTGAGGCTGTAAATCTTTATGGGAGCAGAAAGCCTCATCTATCTCCCGTGGAGCAGCTGGTAGTTTCGAACTGCTGACCTTAAGGTTCGCAGCCCAATTCGTAACCACTACGCTACCAGAGCTCCTTTACTGCATATGAGACTATTGAAAATACCAATACTTGAGTCAGGCACACCTTAATTCTCAAGTGATACCTTTGCTCTTGAACACTTTGAAGAGTCATGTGCAGCAGAGTTGCCCTATGCAATATGTCATTTGATTTCTTGACTGCACTTCCATGAGGGCTGATGATGAATACAAGCAAAATGAAGTCTTTGACAACTTCAATCTTTTCTTCATTTATGATGATGCTATTTATTGGTCAACAGTTTGAAACTACCAGCTGTTTCACGGGAGAAAGATAGAGCTCTCTGCTCCCATAAAGATTGACAGCCTTGGAAACCCTGTACAGGGTTGTTATGAGTTGGAACCGACTCCAAGGCACTTAACAACAACAACATTTATTGGTTCAGTTGTGAGGATTTTTGTTTTCTTTACATTGAGGTGCAACCCATACTACAGGCTGTGGTCTTTGATCTTCTTCAGCTGGCAAGGCTATATCCTCTTTATATTACAATATTAATGAATCTTTCTCTAATCCTCATGCCATACTCTTCTTCAAATAATCCAGCCTTTCAGATTATTTGTTCAGCATACAGATTGATAAGTATGATGAAAGAATACACTCCTGGCACTCATCTTTCCTGATTTTAAATCATTCAGTATTGCCTTTTTCTCTACGAATGACTGTCTCTTTGTCTATGTATAGGTTACTCAAGGGCACCATCAACTGTTCTGGAATACACATTCTTCACAATGTTATCCATCCATAGCTTGTCATGAACTAAAGAGTCAAATGCCTTAGCATAGTCAATAAAGCACAAGTAAACATCTTTCTGGTATTTTCTGCTTGAAGGCAAGATCAATCTGACATTAGCTTTAATATCCCTAGTTCAACATCCTCTTTTGAATCTGGCTTGAGTTTCTGGCAGTTTCCTGTAAATATACATTTGCAGCCATTAAAAAAATTATTATTTCCTCTAGCACAATTTTAATTACATATAATATTAATAATATTGTTCACTGATTTCCTCATCCCATTGGGCCACCTCTGTTTGGAATGGGAACAAATGTGGATCTCTTCCAATCAGTTGGCCACGTAGCTATCTTTCCAATTTCTTGGTATCTCTAGTGATGCATCAGTTTGTTGAAACATTTCAATTTGTATTCTGTCAGTTCCTGGCATCTTCTTTCTTTGCCAGTGCCTTCAGGAAGAACTAGGGCTTCTTCCTTCAATACCACTGATTTTTGATCATGTTATACCTTTTGAAATGGAATGTCAAATAATTCTTTTCACAACATGTCCATTTTCAGTCACATATAAACAATTTTCTGCCTCTGAGGACTTATATGCTTCTAGATGATGGTGTTCTAAAGAAGTACTCATCAATAATTCATCACTTGATTGGAGTAAATGTGCTCTTCAGCTTACTTTGTTGCTGTTACTGTTTGGTGCCATCAAGTTAGTTCCAACCCATAGTGATCCTATGTACAACAGAAGGAAAAATCATCTGGTTCTGATCATCCACACAATTGATTCTACACTTGAGCCCATTGTTGCTGCCATGGTGCCAGTCCATCTCACTGGGGGTCTCTCTCTTTTTCACTGTCCTTCTACTTTACCAAACATGATGTCTTACTCTAGGGACTGGTCCCTCCTGATAATACGTCCAAAGTATGAAAGATAAAGTCTGGAATTATTGTTACACTTCAGGCCATTATTGCTGCCACTGTGCTAATCCATTTCCTTGGAGGACTTCCTCTTTTTCACTGACTCTCCACTTTACCAAGCATGATTTCTCTCTCCAAGGACTGGTGTCTCCTGGTAACGTGTCCTAAGTATGATGAAGTCTCACCATCCTGGTTTCTAGGGAGCAGTCTGGCTTTACTTCTTCCAAGACAGATTTGTTTGCTCTTCTGGCAGTCCATGGTACTTTCCATATTCTTCTCCAATACCATAACTCAAATGCATCAATTCTTCTGCAGTCTTCTTATTCAGTGTACAATTTTCACATGCATATGACATTACTGAAAATACTATTGCTTTAGTCAGCCATAGCTTTGTCCTTAAATTCTTATTAGCCCTCTTGAACACTTTAGAGAGGTCTTGTGCAGCAGATTTGCCTAATGCCATTTGATTTCTTGACTTCAGCTTCCATGAGTGTTGATTGTACATCCAAGCAAAATGAAGTCTTTGACAACTTCATCTTTTCTCCATTTATCATGATGTTTTTTATTGGTCCAGTAGTGACGATTTTTGTTTTCTTTACATTGAGATGCAATCCATACTGAAGGCTGTAGTCTCTGATGTTCATAAGTAAGTATTTTAAGCCCTTTTTGTTTTCAGCAAACAAAGTTGTATCAATTGCTTTATTATAGGTTGTTAAGAAGTGTTCCTTCAATCTTGATTCCATGGAAACAATTTATTGAAGT